AAAGAAAGAAAGAAAGAAAGAAAGAAAGAAAGAAAGAAAGAAAGAAAGAAAGAAAGAAAGAAAGAAAGGAAGAAAGAAAGGAAGAAAGAAAGAAAGAAAGAAAGAAAAGAAAGAAGTGGTGAAAAGTCTAACTCCATCTTCTTCAGATTCCAGGAAAAGAAGCTGAAAGTGTTTAAAACTATCTTTTCTATATAAGGGTAATTAATATGATGGATAAATGAAATTCATGGTAATTATATGTTTAAATGGTAAGGTTAAAGTAAACATGAATTTTATAAAGGCTTACACTTTTTTCACGTGTGTGCTTTTACATTAACTTCCTTCCTTTATCTCCACCACCATGTGCTGTTCATCTATAATACCATATCCCAGCCCCATGAAGTACTGCCTGACCTTGGGCAAGTTCTATAGTCTCTCTCTATATCAGTTTTCTTGTCTACAAAATGAGATAACAATAGTACCTATATCATGGTGTTAGAAGAATTATACTAGGATATGTGAAGTTCTTAAGCAGTGCCTGACCCCAGTGTTAGCTCCATGTTAACTGTAATTTCATGGGACCACAGAATGTGATCTGTTCTCTAGTTTTTTGGAATTTATTGAATCATTCCTTGCAATCTAAGTTAAAATTGATATTTGCTAAAATTCCATGTGATCTTGAAAATAAGGTATATTTTCTATTTGTGAGATATATAATCTTATATAAAGAATATGTTTATTCAACACTATTATATTTCAATAATCAAGGACTTCAACACTGGTAGTGAGGACTAAGAAGAAGGAAGAGATTCAGGATGCATTTCAGAAGTAGGGTTGACAGAATTTAGTGGCCATAGGACATAATGAGAAGAAGGTATGAAAGATCATACTGTGATTTCAAAGCTTGCAAAGAGATGGTTAGCAATACAGCTCACTAAACTAGATAGGCCAGAAGAGAAAGTAGGTTAGGAGAAGGGAGAAAGTCAATAAGGAGATGTTTCAGCATAATGGAGTTATGCAAGGGATATGAATATCAGATCACTGGACACATTTGCAAAAGTGTAACTTTGTTTTTTTTAATAAATGAACATAATTCCTATTATGAGCCTCATTCCTCCTGGTCATAGAACTTTAAACTTGGTGTATTCAGAATTGCTTCTTTTCTCTAAATTATTTGTAAGTTCAAGAAGACTTAAGCAGTGGTGAGGCATCTGGGAGAGCCTTGATTATGTTAACATTACAAAGATAATCATCATTCCTGCTTGGTCTTCAGTCACTAGCCAAAGTATAACTGCTAAGTTACTTCTTGTTCTTAATAGAATTCTTAACCTCTGGGTGAGTGAATGGGATAATTCTGCCACTGAAGCATCCTTCTAGTTTACCATAAATTCCAGTGGGAATATCTATTGCTCCACCACATCCATGTGATCTCAATCATACAAGGATTCTACTATTACTTTCTTCCCATGCTGGGAGAACCTGTGTGAGGGAAGGGGGACCAATGCCATGAGATGACTTCAGATCTATCTACCAAAGAAAACCAGTCAATCAGTGCTATGCTATGTATGATCTTGCCCCCGCCCTGAGCTCCATTCACATGAGGAAACACCAGTGCACCAAGCCACCAGACTTTAACCAGAGTTTCTATCCTCCATTACTTCCTCCCATTTCCCTTCTCTCCCACTATATGAAACCCAGGACTAGAGATAAAAAAAAAAAAAAAAAAAAAACAGTGATACCCCTCCCCATACTATCTGTACTGTTCATCTTCCTTTACTCCTATTCTATCCCTCTTCCTCTTATTCAAGACTTGGTTTAGGGAAGGAATAAACTCTTAATTTATCTGTACTCTCCAAAATCTATTTTAAAATCTGAATCCAAGTGTTCCTTTCAGTGCCCTAAAGAATGTAGTCTTCTTTTTTTTAATTCAATTTAGCTAACATGTAGTATATTATTAGGTTCCAGAGTAAAATTTAGTGATTTATCAGTTGCATATAACACCCAGTGCTCATTACATCAAGTGTCCTCCTTAATATTAGCCCATCACCCAGTTGCCCCATCCCCCTTTCTCCTCTCCCCTCCTCTCCAGCAAACCTTTGTTTGTCTCCACCCCATTTGGGACCATCCCCTGCCTGCTCTGTTCTCACAGGTCTGTGCCACATCTGTAATTTTTTCATGCTTCCAAAATGTACTGAACTGCTGTGCAGATTGCTCACAGCACAACCCTAGGAAGCACCATTCACAGAGGCAATGAGGTGCATTGCACATCGGTACATAACAGCTCAGTGGGCCCCTTCCATATTTCATACACTTTCTTTGTCATGTCAGAGTCCCTCAGAGACTTCCCTGAGTTGGCACCTCTGATTTCCTTTCTCCGTTTGTGAGAGAGTCTTGCACAGAGATATATTTCTCAATTATAAGAAAAAAAGTTCCTTATGACAAATGTATGTCTCAGTATTTAGAGAGAAGCTTGAGGAATGGTGAGGAGAGGGGAGCCATGGAGTATACAGGCCTTACATGAAAGGTAACTTCTACTCAGTTCTAGCAGATTCTTGCCATGCAAGGGATGCCAAAGGAATGTTGCTGATTATACATCTATATATCTATATATCAGATTTATCTATAAGTATATATATGAGATATATATCAGATTTTAGTATATATAAGAAATATATATTTATATTTCATATATGAAATATAATGGGTAAATATAATGGGTATATATGAAATATAATGGGAAATATATATTTCATATATTATATTTCATAAATGAAATATAAATATATATTATATATAAATATATATTCATATATTTCATATATCTATATATACATATATCAGATTTTCTTTACCCATTCATCTGTCCACGGATATCTGGGCTCTTTCTATATTTTAGCTATTGTGAACATAGTCTTTTGACATGCAGAAGTCTGCTCTTTGTTTCTCTCTTTTCAATGGGAAATAGTACACATTGTTCAGAATATGATAATGATGAATTGTTTTAGACTTTTGAAAACAGGATAAAAAGAAGATGAAGTATGTTTTTTTTTAAATATTCTCAAAATCAAAATCTAATAAATTAGTAAGAAATTCCCAAATAAAATCCAGGTGTAAGGTAGGCAACTTCTAAGATGGCTTCCAATGATTCCTGGGTCCTGGTATCCACGCTTTTCTATAATCCTTTCCTGTTGAGCCAGTCACTTCTAATGGATCATACAGCATTGACTCTTGACAACATGGGTTTGAACTACATGGCTCCACTTAACACACAGATTTTTTTTTTCAATAAATATATTGGACGGGCACCTAGGTGACATAGTCTGTTAAGCATCCAACTCTTGGTTACAGTTCAGGTCATGATCTCAGGGTGGTGAGATCTAGTCCTCATGGGGCTCTGTACTCAGTGGGGACTCTGCTTGGGATTCTCTCTCTCTCCCCTTCTTCATACCCCTCCCCATGCTCTCTCTCAAATAAAAACAAATCTTTAAAAAAAAATGTGGTATATATACATTAAATATTATTCAGCCATAAAAAGGAAGGAAACCCTGCCATTTGTAACAACATTGGTAAACCTAGAAGATATTATGCTAAGTGAAAAAGCCATATATAGACAAATACTGTATGATCTCACTTATGTGTGATATCTCAAGGAAGTCAAATTCACAGAACTAGAAGGTAAAGTGGTAATTGCCAGAATTTGGAAAGTAAGGGAAATGGGGAGATGTTAGCCAAATCAAACTTTCAGTTATAAGATGAATAAGTTCTGATGCTCTAATGTATGGTATGGTGACTCTAATTAATAAAACACCGTATATTTGAAATTTGCTATGAAAGTAAATCTTACATATTCTCACCACAAAAAAATAATTAGAACTATTTGAGGTGATGGATATGTTAATTAGTTTGATTGTGGTAATCATTTCACAATGTATATGTACTTCAAATCATCACATTTGACTGCTTAAACATAAGCAGTTTTTACTTTTTAATTATACCTAGGGGCACCTGGGTGGCTCAGTCATTAAGCATCTGCCTTCAGGTCAGGTCATGATCCCAGAGCCCTGGGATTGAGCCTTATATTGGGCTTCTTGCTCAGCAGGGAGCCTGCTTCTCCTTCTTCCACTCCCCCTGCTTGTGTTCCCTCTCTCACTGTCTCTCTGTCAAATAAATAAAATCTTTTTAAAAATTTTTTAAAATTATACCTCAATAAACCTGGGGAATAAAAGTCATAAAGAATGGTTGGGGTAACAGATATGTTCACTATCTTGAATGTGATGATGGTTTCATAAAAGTATATGTGTCACAACTTATCAAATGCTTTAATGCTTTAATATTTAAATTTTTATGTCATTTATATCTCAATAGTTTTTTTTAATAGTGATAGTTACAAAAAATTACCTTGATGGGATATTATGCAGCTTTGAAAAATATCACTTATGAAGAGTCTTAATGAGACAAAAAATACTTATGGTATATATCATGTTACAAAAGCAGGACATCTGAGTACAAGTATATGGTTCAGAACTACTCATAGCAAAATATTAAATAATAAACTAGGTACACATAAATTTTTCTTAAGAAATACACTGATTGCTTCTGAGAAATGGAGCTCGTGTTAACTCTTCCTTCTTTGCAATTTTTAATAGTTTATAAATTGCCTAAAATTAGCATTTAATTTTCATAGTAACATAAAACAAAACAAAAAAGTTTTATTTACTTAAGAAAAGAAAAAGTATAGTTCTCAGTTCTCCATTAGTACCTTTGGAAAATTCAGGTTGGGGAGCAGTGCCTCTGTCAATAGGAAAAGCTGTCAAACAGGAAAGGGCTGTCAGTTTTTTCCTCACATAAGCATTGCCAGCTCCTTGGCCTCAGGGAAGATCAGTGTAACGTATCTACCTGGAGCAGGGCATACCCCAGACCTGAGAGGTTTGCATGGGAGGGTGTGCTCAACCTTCCCTTGCTGCCCTCTGACAGCCAGAGTCAGACACTGCCACCAGCCTCCTCAACCGAGGCTCCCAGCCATGAAGCTGCTCTTTGTCATGCTTGCCTTGCTCTTCTTTTGGGACCCAACGCTGGCAGGTAAAATGGGAATTTGGGGGGGAGGGGAGTCATTTGTCTAGAAAAGCAATTCCACTAAGCAAACCTATAAATGTCTTACCACCGCGGACCCTTCTATTTTCAAAGTGGAAACAGCATCAACTGGTCTGACGTTAGCAAGACCTGAGCTTGAATTTTGGCTCTCCAATTTGTGTTAACTGTGCAGCTTTAGGCAAAAGTCTAATCTTCCCTGAATCTTAGTTTCTTCATTCACAAAGTGGCAATAATACTAACCTCAGTCTTGCAAGGATTAAGTGTGATAATATATAGAATAGACCTGTACACCACACATATGGTACCTGACTCATGAGAGTTATCATTATATAATCATTAGTAATACCCCAACCTCTTTTGGCACTATTGTTTTGTCCCTAAGTGAGGAACATGTCCAGCCATAATAGTCAAAACCAGCAAATAGTGATAACTCAATTTGTTAAGCTTTCTAATTTGCTGAAATTGCTTATAGTTAATTTGTTATTCGTAGATGTCTTAGATACATGGAGAAACAGATTTGGAACGGCACGTTCCAAGAGAATTAATAAGCTTTATGTGCTAAAAGAAATGTCTGATCAGATGAGATAGCAGATAGGGAGACATGAGAGAGAGTACTGACTGGTCTCATAGTTTAGCTTACCCATATTCATTACTGACTTTAAAAACTCCTTCTTGAATATTCTCTTCACTCAGGGCTATTAAAGCAGCTCAAATTCAGATATTATAGGATCTCATTTAATTTCTCATCCTCCCTCAAGTAATCCCTAGGTAGATGAACCACATTTTGGAGTCATGTGACTCAGTAGGCTGGATTTAAGAATCCATACAATCCAGGCCTCTTGAAGCTGTTGATGGGACCAATCCCACTTTGTTTTATGGCAATAGTTTCATGGCCCCTAGATCGCCAACAAAATAGTATACAATATTGCCTTTAGTGTCTTATACCTTCCCAAAGCTCATCATTTCCATAGGAATTCCTTATCTTATTATGTAGACCACTACACTTCATCTTCTCAGGCTTTCATCCTTTTTTTTTTTTTTTTTTTGCATGTTAGGAACACCTTTCATATTTTCATACTGCCTTGCTTTTTTTTTATTATTAACATATAATGTATTATTTGTTTAAAGGGTATGGGTCTATGATTCATCAGTCTTACAAAATACACAGTGCTCATCTCAATACATACCCTCCCCAATGTCCATCACCCAGTCACCCCATCCCTCCCACACCCTCCACTGTAGCAACCCTCAGTTTATTTCCTGAGATTAAGAGTCTCTTACAGTTTGTCTCCTCTCTGGTTTCATCTTGTTTCATTTTTTCCTCTCTTCCCCTATAATCCTCTGCCTTATTTCTCAAATTCCACATATCAGTGAGATTATATGATAATTGTCTTTCTCTAATTGACTTATCTCACTTAAGATAATACCTTCTAGTTCCATCCACATTGTTGCAAATGGCAAGATTTCATTTTTGATGGCTGCATAATATTCCATTGTAGATATACACATCTTCTTTATCCATTCATCTGTTGATGGACATCTGGGCTCTTTCCATGGTTTGGCTATTGTGGACATTGCTTCTATAAACATTGGGGTGCAGTTGCCTCTTCAGATCACTACATTTATATATTTGGTGTAAACACCCAGTAATGCAATTGCTGGTCATAGGGTAGCTCTATTTTCAACTTTTTGAGGACTTTCCATTTTCCAGAGTAGCTGCACAAGCTTGCATTACCACCAAGAGGGCTCCCCTTTCTCCGCATCCTTGCTCAGCTTTTATCTTGCCAGCTAAGTAACCCTGATCCTTTTCTCTCCTTATAGGATAATTATCTTCCAAAGCATGATAACTTGAACAGGATGTGGTGGCTCAAAATTTCTACAGATGACCAAGTATTTGACACTCTTTTCCTTTTAAGACCTACTTATGAATATAAATTTAAAATATTCATATTTTGATAATTCTACAGAATAGCTTATCTATAAAAGTGTAAGTTTGAAATACCTTGGACCCCAATAAGACATATTAAATCTTCAAAATAGATTTCATCCTCCTCTAAACTCATAACACCATTCTATGCTGCAAATGCTTCACTGCACTTGTCATCTTTTCTCCTCTCTCACAGATATTTTGTGTTTCTTCTCTTTTTTTGTCTAGACTGAAAATCCTTAAAGTCTATATCATACTCAAATCTGTACCCCAACAGCACCTGGATTTATGAAAACTGGTTTGGGAATGAATACAGAATTAAATAATGAGCAAATGACTACATGCATAGGTAATCTGGTTGTTCCAAGTATATTAACTGACCAGTTTGGGCAGACTTCCAAGTTATTAATTGTCATAGTTCAGACTAACAAAACAAAATACTGAAGATTGTGTGGTTTAAATAAAATGTATTTCATCACAGTTCCGGAGGCTGGAGAGTCCAAGAGCAACTGCAGGCTGATTCAGTCTCTGATGAGAGCTATCTTCCTGGCTTTTAAACAGTCAACCTCTCCACCAGTCCTACAATATCAAGACCCCACACTAACAACCTCAATTAACTGTAATTACATCTCAGAGTCCCTTTCCCCAAATAGAGTCACATTGGAGTTTAGAGTTTCAACCTATGAATGGAGGGGGAGAGGGAGGAAAGTTGTATTTATTTTTTTTTTTTCAATTACAGAACCAAACATTATAATCAAGTCTCCTTGGAATGCAGTTTGATAAAAATGGAAGTACCAATTCTATAGTCCAAAAAGACCCATAATGAATTATTTATTCATTCATTTTCTTTCTAGGCTTGAATCCACTGGCAGCAGAAATACACAAAAAATGCTACAGGAATGGTATCTGCAGACTTGAGTGCTACACAAGCGAAATGTTAGTTGCTAACTGTGGGTTTCAGCTGGAATGCTGTGTCAAAGGAAACCCAGACCCCTGACAAGAGAAGCCAGAGAACACCAATGAACTTCAAAGTCTTTGACACCCTCTCCACTGTCTTTCACACAGCGAGGGAATTTCAATTACACTGTGACCCTGTCGTGTGTCCATGGCTGTGGGTTTTTAGCATTTTTTAAAAGTCATCAGAATCAGGATTTTGTATTTGAAAAGCTGAGCTGCTGCCTTCCTAAAGACAGCTAAGCTTCTCATGAAAACTTAGGATGTATTTTATCATTTCAAAATGATATCCATGTTCTTCTCAGTGCTGATTTCTCTCTTTCCTCATAGAAAGGAAGTTTTAAGTATTTATCAAGGCCTCAAGTTACAGAAACATCTTTTTACACTTGGGCTTTACCCTACCATCCCTTTGGCTCCCTGTTTACTGTCTCTTTGGACTGTGCATCTTAGAGAAACACATCTGCTCTAGCCCCCTGATGACCCTGTATGCTTCTCACATAGACTGCATAGACAAGGCATAACTGCAGGCTGGCCCAAGTCTTGACTGAGTCTGACCACACAGTTCTTCTTGAAACACAGCGAAATATCATGTTGTAATGGGCAGTCTTTAGCAGGTTCTCAGCCACCTCCTTTCAGGAAGTGAAAGCACGGAACTTTCCATCTCAATCACCTTAGGTTCAGCTACAGTTATCAGACCACTTGGCTATCGTTTACAGCTGACTCCTCAGCAGCACAGTGGCCCAACATCTCTGCTACCCATCATCTGGTCCCTTTGGTTGGGTTCATCTGTAGCCCTAGGAGCTAACACCAAGCTGATCTTTCTTTGATGTGTAAGTAAGCAATACATTTTCTCAGCTCATTTAGACTCACCATTTTCTTTACTGGTCAACATTATGAAGGTGTGGTAGGCAAACCTACAACTTTTCTTGTGGTGCTCATTATCCTACTGACTACAGCGATGCTGCTGCATGTCTGCCTAACTTCTCAATACCATCAACCCACATACAGTTGCATGAGTGTGGCGTTCTGCACATGCAGTTCAGCATGAGGGTGCGGTAGCAAAGGGGGTAGATTCTGGGCGTGGAGCAATTCTCTTTAACCTTAGTGTTGAATCCAGCTTGGACTCTGGCAATTCTGAAAAGGTGGAGCTCTAGCTGCAAATAGCTGATTGCTGACCTGGTACATGGCTGAGGAAACAATACCTAAGTCCTGGCTTAAAATGACAGTACCACCTTTGGAAGCAATGAAAAGAGAACAGTAAATGAGAAAGATGAGGGGTTGTGAGAGGTCCTATCCACTCAGATGCTCTTCAGCCTTTGATTAAACCCAGTGTTGGAATCTTTAGGGAGGAAGATGTTAAAAACACAGTAGAGTGTGTCCTCCCCTCAGAGACCCGAACTTTCCTGTGGAGTCAGTAGGAGATGGTTTAAATGGAATGGCATTAAAGATGGTCTGGAATGGCAGTCATGGTTATTAAGCATCCAAAGTAAGGAATACATCCACACAGGTCCCAGGAAAATTCTCAGACTTTGAAGGAGGTGGGAGAGTCCTTCCATGAATGGCACTGAATCTTACGGAGCTGTGACCTTATAGCATCCAGGGAGGCTTAGGCTTGCTTCTCATTTGACTCTTTCACTTCAGATGTACATTCTCTATACACACAGATAAAATAAAATCTGAAAGCAATTCAGTCTGCTGACTATCTGAAGAGCCTCTTTTTCCAAATGGGTAAAAGGACACTGTTCTCCCATCAGAGAAGTGATCTCCAAAACAATGGAAAAAAACTTGAGTTCTCTCTGCTGAAACAAAATAAACTCTCTGGAATCTGGTTAAGTCTTGGACAAACAGAACTTCCCACTACTACAAAAAAACAAAGATGGATGTAGGCCAACACTACACTTTCCTTATCTTACTGTTCATAAACCCAAAACTCTATATCCATATACCATGTGAGGAAATGAATTCTGTTATTAACAATGGTAGCTGCAAACTGTTTTATTCTTTTGATGCAAAGTGTTTATGTAACACAAGCAACCTGTAGCTTTTCTGGGCTTCTGTAAATATGGAACCTGAAAGGAAATTGGCTAACTATAGCTAGTCTCTGTACCTGGAGACATCCAAAAGAATCTTAATTCTAAAATCAAAAGCCTTCTTTAAAATAATGTACTTACCAAATATCTCAGTAAAGCAACAAAACATGGAAGGGCATTTTCACAATTTAGAGCTAACTTCCTTCAGAATTCTTTTTGGATATCACTCCCTGACATCCCACCTATCCAGTGACAAAGTTGCACTCTAAAAATAATACATGGTTGGGACGCCTGGGTGGCTCAGTTGGTTGGACGACTGCCTTCGGCTCAGGTCATGATCCCGGGGTCCCGGGATCGAGTCCCACATCGGGCTCCCAGCTCCATGGGGAGTCTGCTTCTCCCTCTGACCTTCTCCTCGCTCATGCTCTCTCTCACTGTCTCTCTCTCAAATAAATAAATAAAATCTTTAAAAAAAATAAAAATTAAAAAAAAAATAAAAATAATACATGGTTTCCATCAATAAATGAATGGATAAAGAAGATGTGGTGTGTGTGTATAAAAATGTATATATTATTATATATTATAAATAAATAGTGTATATAATATATATAATGTATATACCATTTCCTATATATATAAAAATATAATAATTACACTATATATGTTATATATGCACTATATATATATATATATATATGTATACACACACACAACAGAATATTAGTCATAAAAAAGAATAAAATCCTGCCATTTGTGGCAACAAGGTCGACCCTAGAGAGTATTATCCTAACTAAAATAAATCAGGCAGAGAAAGAGAAATACCATATGATTTTACTTATATGTGGAATCTAAAAAACAAAACAAATGAACAAACAAACAAAACAGACTCTTAAGTACACAGAACAAACTGGTTGCCAGATGGGAGGTAGGTTGGAGGATGGGTGAAATAGAGGAAAGTAATTAAGAGATACAACTTCCAGTTAGGGGCCCCTGGGTGGCTCAGTTGGTTAACCACCTGCCTTCAGCTTAGGTCATGATCCCTGGAATCAAGTCCCACATTAGGCTCCCTGCTCAGCAGGAAGTCTGCTTCTCCCTCTCTCTCTGCCTGCTGTTCCCCCTGCTTGTGTGCTGTCTCTCTCTCTCTGTCAAATAAATAAATAAAATATTTTAAAAAGAGAGATATAAATTTCAGTTATAAAAGAACCAGAATAGTGGAACAAATTAAAAATAAAAGTTGTGGGACGCCTGGGTGGCTCAGTTGGTTAAGCAGCTGCCTTCGGCTCAGGTCATGATCCCAGCGTCCTGGGATCGAGTCCCACATTGGGCTCCTTGCTCATCAGGGAGCCTGCTTCTTCCTCTGCCTCTGCCTGCCATTCTGTCTGCCTGTGCTTGCTCTCTCTCCCTCTCTCTCTCTAATAAATAAATAAAATCTTTAAAAAAAAAAATAAAAGTTGTTTCTTTGAATTGGGGTGGGTTTCCCTCCTTTTTTTTTTTTTTTTTTTTTTTCCAGTTGGCTTTCTGGGGGAGGGACCTGCCCTGCGGGTTTTCAGGCAATAACAGTCCTAGAGTTAAGTCCTCCTGTCCCCATCAAGGGGTGGGCTCTGAGGAAACTGTTTTTCAGCCTTTTGTTCTCTGGAGGTTTTTTTTTGTTTGTTTGTTTGTTTTCTCTCCCCTTGGTGGCTTTTGATAGTTTTTGGAGGTTTAGAGTAAAGCAAACTGCACCCAGAACTCCCTTTCAGAGAGAAGCCTCAGTTTCTTCCCCTCTGTGTGCTCCAGAGCACAGAAATTCCCCATCACAACATAAGTTGCAGAGATGAAAAATTCAACAGAGGGAATATAATCAAAACATTGTAATAATGTTGCAAGATATCTGGTGACTACACTTATCATGGTGAGCACTGCGCAATATACAGAATTTTTTAATCAATATGTTGTACACCTGAAGCTAATATAACATTGTATGTCAATTACACTTCAATAATAAATAAGAAAAAATAAAATAAAGAATAAAAATGACACTTTTATTCTAGAAGCTGGAATAGAGATTCTGAGAAGACTTGAGAGCAAGTAAAAGCTCTGTTTTTAAGGAAATTTGACAAGATACAATGTCGTTCCTGATTAAAACACTTCAAAGTAGAGGAATAGAGGGAACATTCCTGAACTTCATAAAACCTATCTATGAAAAACCCACAGCGAATATCATCCTCAATGGGAAAAAGCTGACAGCCTTCCCTCTGAGATCAGGAACACAGCAAGGATGCCCACTCTCGCCATTCTTGTTCAACATGGTACTAGAAGTCCTAGCAACTGCTATCAGACAACAAAGAGAAATAAAAGGTATCCAAATTGGCAATGAAGAAGTCAAACTCTCTCACTTCACAGATGATATGATACTTTATATGGAAAACCCAAAAGACTCCACCCCCCAAACTACCAGAACTCATACAGAAATTCAGTAATGTGGCAGGATACAAAATCAATGTACAGAAATCAGTTGCTTTCTTATACACTAACAGTGAAAATATAGAATGGATGGGAAATTAGATAATCGATTCCATTTACTACAGCACTAAGAACCATAAGATACCTGGGAATAAGCCTAACCAAAGAGGTAAAGGATCTGTATTTGAGGAACTACAGAACACTTATGGAAGAAATTGGAGAAGACACAAAAAGATGGAAAACCATTCCATGTTCATGGATCAGAAAAATAAACTTGTTAAAATGTCTATACTGCCTAGAGCAATCTATACTTTCATTGCCATCACGATCAAAATTCCACCAGCATTTTTCAAAGAGATGGAACAAACAATCCTAAAATTTGTATGAAACCAGAAGAGACACCAAATTGCTAAGGAAATGTGAAAAAGAAAAACAAAACTAGGGCCATCAAGTTGCCTGATTTCAAGCTTTACTACAAAGCTGTGATCACCAAGACAGCATGGTACTGACACAAAAACAGACACATAGACCAGTGGAACAGAGTAGAGAGCCCAGATATGGACCTTCAACT